ATATGCACGAGTTGCCGGGAATAAAAATATTTTCCAACGCGATAATGCGGCAGTGCTTACTGCGGAAACGGCGCAAGCATATTTTTGTGGTGAAAAAGTTCAAGTTTTGAAGGAACTAGCAACATCCCTGGACTTGAACATTATAGAAAATTGTTGGTACTTTGCCAGAACAATGTACTGAAATGGAAGACAATTTGAGAACGTTAATGCTTTAAAAAACTGAACTCTAGAGGGATTGTAATAATTATCATCAACCATCAAACTGTACAAATCATTGTCAGGAAAAATGATCGCAGTAATTAAATATGAAGGTGGAACTACAAAGTATTAAACATGAATCTCAATCGTTTTACTTGTCATCATCAACTATTTCTTAATGAATGCGCTGTTATTTTAATTCTATTGAGGCGTATATATTTCCGTTTTGATTTGTATATCAAATCGTGAAAGCGAGCATTGGAGATGGCAACCGACATATTGAACTTACAACCCTGCTCACAGTTATTGACATATTGCAATATGGGGTTGCTTTACTTTATGATACAAAATATGAGGAAATATAAAATTTATTGTCGCTTTGTCTCGGTTTATGCATTGATGCAATGATTGATTCACTTTTTATTTGACGGTTCCATTTTCTTGAAAATTTCACAATTCTGTTACACAGTTATTCGTATTTTCTGGCGTACTGGGTATTTGCCTCGATATATTTTTTTCCTTTATGAATTCCCCTAAGATAATAAACGTCATGTATGACGATCTTTGCAGAACTCAAATTTCCTCTTCCTATTTGGTGAGTAGGTACTTACATTATCTAAAATTTTGTAAACTCGGTAATAATTATATAATAATTAGATACGTCACGTTCAAACCACATCCGTAACTGGCTGGTGCATGTAGTGTATTTATATGTATGAATTTTGCAACTTGCTAAGCAAAGAATTATTGTATCAAACTATAGCTGATATTTCATTAGATCAATATTTATCTTTTTTTGTAATTTTTTTATTACACAATTTTTATTGTTTTTAGAAACCTTGAAAACCTGAAAAATTGAATTAATTTAAACTAAATAAAATAAACTTAGTTACCTTAACTGAAGCAAGTAAACTTAAATAACCTAGCCTCAACACAAATAATTTAAATAAAAATCATCGTGACATCTCGAAAAGAAGTAAATAAATTTGATAACCACTGCCATTTATAATTAGATTGTTGATTAAAATACAGATATTTTACAAACCCGTATTTTATTTGAAAGGTACTTTCAAATAATATGTAACGAGAGAAATAATTACCTAAAAATGAGATGTTTCGAAAGTGAAACATCCTGTACAAATACAACTGATAAACGATAAAATGTAAGCACTGTCTGTTAAATAATTTTGCATAGACCAAAATAAACCATAAAATTAAGTACCCGTCCCACTTTTCCGTCTTCTTTAACGAATTAATTGATAATTAACTGTGTTTAGCGAAGCCGATTAAAGAGCTTCGCTAGACAAAGAGGACGCTTTATAGGAATTATTTAGTATGCACTATAGCCGAAATTCATGGTCTTCGGTACTTCGACGGTTTCACGTGCAGAGTGATTAAACGTTTACTTTCCATTTTCCTATGTCTCTTATGAATAGGGAACCTGGCGAATGAGTAATTAATGTTGTAGGATTCATATCGACTGCTAGGCTATTTAACGTACAGTTATGCTAATATTCTTTCACGCAGAAAATTTCATTAAAATTTTACGTAATGCAAGCAGAACAAATTAGGAGTTAACCCAGTTAATTCTGTTCATTTACATGAAAACCTTGTAGGAACATAATCAGCTCTGCACGGTCAAAATTTTGTAACACATTTTTCGAACTTAAATATTGATTTTTTCGCATAGAACGATTTTTTGTTGAAAAAAAAAAATAATATTTTTACCCTAACTCTTCAAATAAGTGTAGTTTGTGCAATCAGATATATTTCAATTTCACTTGACATTACATTATTCTGTTTTTATTATTTTTTATGTCGTTTTTGTATTTTATGTGCTCAGATGAATTTCAGTTTCATTGTTTTGTTTTTATAAATTTGGCAATTTTTAATTTACGTTTAAATAATAATTAAAATGAAAACAATATGCGAAGTAAAAAAAGTTTTCAAAATAGGAGAGCGTTTAAAATTGATCGAAAAGTTATCGCAGATGTACGATTTTCTTATGTGCCACTCTATATATTCATACCTTTACGATACACTAAAGGAAACTATGCCATAAATATCTCATACGCCAACGAAATAATCTCCGAATTTTTTGAACACACCCTGTACAACAGTAAATTTCGAAGGTGACCAAAACTGGAACAAAATGTGGCGGCAAAATTAAAAAGAGACGATTTATGGTGCACAATTTTGGCTGTGACTCATTGTAAGTGAATTGCTGTAAAAAATAATCGGGGGTTGTAGACGCGGTAGGTGAAGCTTGAAAGCATTCCCTTTGAACGAGTTATTTCGTTAAGCATGTTAAATGCGATAGGACGAGTAGAAAAAGATTTAATGTAAAAACGCATAGCGAAGGGTGCAATTGAATTTATGGAATAAGAGCACTAAAGGAGCGTCGTGCTCATACACGGTAGATGTGTTTGAAATCGTTTTTACCCTCTCGCGTGTCGTAGCCTTTGCCACCCTTACTCTTCTCTGCTCACTTTCTACCGCATCTGCCACTTTTCCCTTTATGCTCACTGTTTTTTTCATTTTCCCGCTCCCCTACTCTGTTTTCTTCCCTTCTGTTACAACATCTCGCTCTTTTACTATGTTCTACTTTGTTTCGCTTTTCTTAATCCCCCCCGCTTCTCTCTATTTTCTTGTTCGATTTTTTCTTCGTTTCACTGTTTTTCATTCGTTTGTTGTTTTTTTCTTTGTCATCTCTCTCTGCAAATATCGTCGATTAATTTTCTTGTTTTTATTTTATTCAAGTTGTATGTACAATTTTATTTTCGAACTGTCGGAAGGGGTTGTGAAGTATTTGTCTAGCGGAATATTTATACTTGTCATAATTCGAATGACTTATATATTGTGTATAGTGCCAGAGTCAGGTTCCACATGGTCTCATTACGATCCTGGTCGCGATACTAACTCTTCCTTCTTAGCCCGGATTTATGATGGGGTTGTCGAAAGCGACTGTCCACCGTCACGTCAGCCATGAACCCATTACTCGTTCTTACAATTAATCAACCGATTACATAGTAATTTCCAGTAAATGTATTTTCATTTGTACTTTAAACTTAGCATAAATGCTACGTTTAGTTGTCTTGTGTCATAAATACGTTTCAAACTTTCTTCGAAATCAGACATTTTCTGTAATTGGCAAACAATTTATATTAAGTATATTATCAGAGAGTTTGTCCATTTATTATTATTCTTTAAACCTCAAACTAATAATTAGTTATTTAGTATATTAATGAAACTCAAAGTGTTATTTGACGCTACTTCTATGTAATCAAATCTTTCCATTTTAGGAATCATTTCATACATACTAACTTAAATATGCATTTATTTCCAAATATCTTAAAAAGGTGATTGTAGCACCGGTATTGTTCGGTGCAATTATGTAATTGCTTCTTTTTCTTCGTGCAAGTTTCATTCGTGAATTTTCTTTGTCACCGTATTTCTACTTACCTCTACTCCGACCCCCTTTCCGTCTCCCCTGCTTTTATCCGTACTCACACCTTGGATTTTTTTCTATTGGACGATGCACAATTTCAAAAGCTGCAACAGACCGTGGCAGAGATAAGCTAATGTCATTAGGTACTGTGTACGTACAACCATCAGCGTGAAAAGCATTCGCCCTCGCGTCGTGTTTACACGGTTCGACCAAAAAACAAACGCAGAGAAAAAGCAGTCACGAACGCGTTTCTACAATGAGGCTGAACGCATATCGAACATTATACGTGTTACATTTTCGTCCGCGCTTTTTTAACCTACCCCTTTATTAAACTCGTTGACCGGCACTGTTCAAATTGTCTTACCAATATATAACAATTATAAATAGCCCGTTTATTTTGCGGGGCAGGTCAATTTTTTGTGACCATAGTTGAAAAAACTTGATTTCTCTAATAGTTTTCAAAAAAATTCATTTATATGGTTTTATAAAGAAACTGTAGTTGAAACTCTCAAATATGCTGTCTGTAATAGTTTTGACATAATAAATGTATTTGAATGATTTTGTGACTTTATACATTTTAATTCCCTTCATCTCTATTGGCATCAACAATATTAACGATATATCGAATTATCGATAACATTGCCATGTTATTGATAGCCTCACGTCTATTTTCTGGCAGCTACATTCGAATTTGGCCATTTAGTATGTACATAGTTACCTAATACAATATGAAATTTTATGATTATCAAGATCGGTTTTATGGTACATTCATTTTAATGATTTTTTCAGAATTAGTCATTTTTCATAAATATTTGTATGAGGTGAAGTTTTTATTATAATTTCTATATGTATTTACTTAATCATTTAGGACATACATGTTAGTGAAATAATCTCTTACTTTGAATGCCAAAACTTTTTAAGAAACTATTCTAAAAATATATGTCAACTTTCATCAATCTAAAAATCAATGTCTTAAACAGTTCGCATATCAATCCCAATTTATTTATTTTTCTTTACATATAATTAATACTATTTCTAAAATATAGGCTTCATTAAAAGTATGTAAGTTTAATGTAGATTAACCAAGCATACCGTGCATTCCATATTTTTACCCCCAATGGTAAACGTTTTATGTCTATACAATATGAAAGTATGTACAATGTTACAAAACAAACTATTTACTCCATATTTGCATATTTCAATATTCAATTGTAGGGTAAGAATATTTGCTGCGAACGTTTCGAATAAGTGTTTCGAAATCTTCGAATAAAATTTTGATATTCTGTCTGAAAATATAAGAAGCAACTGTGAGTGATATGGCGAAATTAAATGAAGTGGCATATGTCTGTTGCAGTGGCTTCAAGGAGTTTTTGGAATGCTCCCATCATTCGATTCGTCGGCAATGTGGCGATGACACGGCTCAATTCGCGAAGCAGTTCCTTGACAGAATGTCGAGTTCGCTTCTGAAGGTAAATATTTGCAACTTCTACTTCGATAGAGGTTGTTATTACACCAACAAGATACGCGGATTCGATTGTACAATAATGCATCGTGAAATTGTTTAACGCTGTTTCGATCAGTGCTTCAAGTATACCCCTCGGGATAAAAAGATAGGTACACGATAAATATGCTATGGGTACCAAAAGACAGCACATACTATATTTCCATATATTTTGTGTCATAAAGTAAAACAACTAGATTACAATTTTGTAAGCAACATTCTATGTTTTAATAAATTGTGAGCATGGTTGCAAATTCAAGTTTACTATCATGCCCAGTGTTGGTTTTCACGACGTACAAATGAAGACGTAAATATACGACTCAATAGGATCAAAATAACAGCGCATTCATTAAGAAATAGTTGATGATGACAAGTAAAACGATTGAGATTCATGTTTAATACTTTGTAGTTCCACCTTCATATTTAATTACTGCGATCATTTTTCCTGACAATGATTTGTACAGTTTGATGGTTGATGATAATAATTATTACAATCCCTCTACAGTTCAGTTTTTTAAAGCATTAACGTTCTCAAATTGTCTTCCATTTCAGTACATTGTTCTGGCAAAGTACCAACAATTTTCTATAATGTTCAAGTCCAGGGATGTTGCTAGCTCCTTCAAAACTTTTTCTAAACTTTTTTTTTTTCTAATCTTACCAGTTCAAATGCACTGCTGCCTCCCATGGCACGACGACTCAAAATCTGTTGATCCTCTGTTAAATCGAGGTTGTAATAGTGAGAGCTATTAGATCTAGATTAAACTTCTTCGCGCCCATAAATATGATGCTTCGCATTCTTTATTCACCTGCACACATTTCTTCGCAAACTGCAAGCACCGAGTTTTGCGTTGCTTTAATCAAGGTTTCTGTTGTAATTTCTTTCGCTTTAAATGTTCGCACTTTTTTTAAAACACGACAAATAATCTAAACATTAGTTGTTAATCCAACATTCTTTGTAATTTGCCTCACAGTCGTGCTCGAATTCGAAACTGCTCGTCTTTTTGTCCCAGGGTGTACGTTTACAAAGATCTATTAAGTAATATTTACAAACACCTAAGTAATATTTAATAATTTACTTAAGCATGTTACGTCTTATGAGGCCAAGTAATAAAACTTGTAACATTGGGCACCGAAAAATGTTTATGCAGTCTCCTGTTAGAAAAAATTTGTTTATTTACACTTTTGTTCAAGTTTATCTACGCTTGTCCAAATTTTCTTTCACGTGTCCATATCGCAAGTACAAATATTGTCGATAAAGGCATTTATTAGGTTTATTCGAAATTCGTCAGAAAGAAAAGTATATTGTTATCCATGAAGGGCAATTGCATAATATACTTCATTAGAAAAAAATTAAAATTTCTATATGTTCCTTTATTGCAGTTAAAATTCGTTTTCCTGTAATTATCATGATTTTTGTGTATGATAAATTGATTCTCAATAAATACCTCGAAAATTGTAACTAAATTGTAATAACAATTAACTCGTCTTTCGTAACTAATTTTGTAGGCTGTTTTTTGTAAATTCAAGTGTTGTACCAATAGAATATACAAGTTTAAGTGGCATTAGATTAATTTAAAAATGATGGTTAGTTACATAGTATTGTTCTTCAAGGTAGTATAAATTGTTTGAGTCTTGTTTTATGAATCTGCACGAACTTTTTTCGGCTGCTAACATGACGCCAAAGAAACAGAAACGAATATACTAATACAAATTTTAGGTCAACTGATCGTTGTGTGGCGCCTTCATGGATTTTCGTGATTTTTTCCTTAATTAATTTGTTATTGTATTACGAATAAAGCAATAATAATCGATGGTCGGATCATTAAATATATAAAACCGATATCACACCGATGCATCAAAGCGTTAGTGGTGCTCCTTCATTCGTGATACTAAACGTAGCAAGTAAAAGATTGCTATATACGAGGTGCGATCATTAAGTTCCGGGACCGGCCCCGTATATGCAGATAAAGTCATCTGTTTCAAATTTGGCTACTATCCTCTTTAAAGTACTACCCTTGGGCAGCTATGCCCCGATCCTAGAGCCTCTGCCATTTTTGGAAAGCTTCCTAGAAGTTTTCTTGTTGAAGCGTGTCAAGCACCTGCTGCGATTCGCGTTGAATCTCGTCCACCGTGTCAAATCGGCAACCCTTGAGCTTTAATTTCATTCTGGGAAACAAAAAGAAATCATAGGGTTCCAAATGTGGTGAATACGGAGGGTGAGGAAGGACGACTATGTTCCATGGTGTGTGGCCCCCCCCTCATATCCCTTAGTTCCAATTTAGAGTCCATCGCGATTTCGCAAAGCAGAGCATGCGTATGCTACGATAAACTTGTATAACACAGGATTCAATGAAGATATCGCTTCCAAACTTCGTGTCATATGTCTCGAAGATTGTTATTCATATATTCCGCGAGCTCATGTCAATCGTGTGATCCGTTTGGTCACAGCAGACACAATCCCGGAACTTAATCATCGCACCTCGTAATATTAATTGAATTAACATTTACCATTCCAAAGTTGTATCTGTGTTTTAATAAAGGATGACGTTATTTCCAATATTTTAGTACAGCGAACTACATGCTGTTTTAAAACGTTGATTGATTATAAGCTGCTATTTAATCAGTATCATTGCATGTTTAAAGACATTAATTTTTAGAAACATTATTGAACTTCGAGATGGCAAATTATCACCCGTTTAATGTAACATAACGTTTGTAAGAACGTTATTTTGATTAAAATATCAAATTGTTACAGTACACTCTCGTTATATTGCTACCCTCTGTATTACCGATTCAGCAAATTTCTATTTTGTTCACTTCTCATAATCGTAACAATAATTTACTGATACTTGTTTAATATTAAAGACCAAACATTTAATTTCAAAAATAAAAAATTGTTGATTTTTAGACTTCTGAATTATCAAGTATTAACGAATTGAAATTTTAGAATTTTGTATTCGCAAGTTTTCAAATCTTCAAGTTCTCGAATCAGGAATTCACTAATTTAAATTTGTTTCTGCGGTAATATTTAGAAAGTAATGTTTGTGCGAAAGAATATGCAACAGTAAACGATCCAAAGGAGATTTTCGGTGCACATAAACAAATTTTCGTGGAAATGTTACGAAGAGTCAAAGTATCAATAAAAATTCGAATAAATGTTTATATTCAGATTGAAGAATAAACATTTGAATAGCAGTTTGCAGAAGGTAAGTGCTAAAACTTATACTTTAGTACTCTTCTCACTGTCCGGTATAAAAATAGTAATATCTTCTAAACTAACGATTTTTCGTCATACAAAACCTTAACCCAATGGCTTATAATATTGAGTCAGACTTGTGACGTACGCCACAGTTCAAATGTGACATACCTAAATCATATTTGCATAAAAATCGAGTTTTGAGTTTGATTTCAATTGTTATTTGTATAATTGAAGATCGTTAAATCCAAAATATACCTAGCATTCCCACGTTCTTTATTATCTTAATGCTGCAGTAATAATTAAGCAACTCTGACTGGCGCAACTGCGTCAGTAAATTGTAGGTTAAGGGGTTAATAAGAGAATAACTTTAAAACAGCAGGTCAATCTCTACTGCGATGTTGCAAGATTTTAATCAGTATATCATTTTAATTATCTCTTTTAATAAAATTATAACAGCGGTAAATGGGTAAATTTACTTGACTTCAAATAAAAGTTGTAAAAGTTAAAAACTGAAATACGTATTAATTTGCTTAGGTATCAATTCGTTGGCAGTTTCACTTATAATCTTATCTGTGGCAATATAATAAGAGTTCACTGTACAGTTTGATATAATTCTTGTGTTAGCTTATATCGTGTAGATCATTTTCACTTATATCAAGACTTTATTGTATCGAGTCTTTACTGTATTTGTTTTGAAACACTATTTCAAAAGGCACAGTTGTCAGATCTTAATCACTCTACCAATGACTAAGTTTGTGTAAGTTTGACTTAAACTTCTTACAAATGAGTAAGTTTGACTTAAACTTCTTTCTGCCTTCGAAAGCAAGCAAGGTCAACTGATCCATTTTAACACTTTCCACTCGAAAACAATCACAATTCGACTTAATACAACAATTTTACATAAGTATTTATTAACTGAATTCATAGTTATATATTATGTGCAATCATAGCGAAACAGTTGTGAAAATTAATAATAGAAGAGAACTTCAAAAAATTCATCAAACTGTTCAACTAGAAGAGATGCTATTTACCTACAGCAAAAATACCTTCGAGTGCAGAGGGTTAAATGCCTCGTGATGTATATAATCTTATAGCAAACGCACTCGAAGAGTTTTTATACTGCATATAGCCCTGAAGTAAATCCAGTGATTGAGCATCGCGTAATTTGGTTTGATTTCAGGAACATTGCGCGGCGTACACGGAAAAGGTGTGCGCGATCGGCAGCGGCGCGAACGCGTTCAGGGCAAGCACAATGGCGGCGATGGTGTTGGTGGTGCTCGCGAGGTACTTCACGTAAGGCGATCAAACAACACTCGTTGCCGGAAAAAGGGAACAATTTCCGTGCACCGCGAGCACCCTGCTGAAACTGAGGCCCTCCGTTCGTTCTCCGTTCTTCAGATTCGCCAAAGTGTACTTTTTCATTTTCAAAGAGAAAATCGTGAAGGAGCCACGCACACGCGAGCTTCTCAGGTACTCTTCACCGGAAGTCGATAAAAATCGAAAGGAGGACAATAACAGAGGGGTAAGAGGACAAGTTCGCCACGTTCTTCGTAACAACTTCCGCCCGGAAACACGTGTCACGCGAGGCTGCGCGCGCGTTTCTCGGAAACAATGGGCGAACGAGAATCGTGGTATCCAGGATCGATGGCCAGTGAATAATCGAGAGTCTCATTTAGCGAGTAAATTGTTCCGCTCGAGTATTGGCCATCCGAAAGGACACATGTCTCGCGTGTCGCGTGAAGGAAAGGACAGATGCAATCTGGGAAGAGAGCATCGAGTGAACGTTAGAAATGGCCGCGATCAACGGTCGAAATAAGTTCTATTTTTATCTTGGTTATCAAAAACCACTGTAAACCAATACTCCAATCTCGAGCCGATCAACCGTTCGAGCCTGTGTTCAATTCTCTGCTGTGAACTGTAACCCCGTAAGAAAGCTCAAGATAGAAGCCAAAAGTAATCAGAATTTTATAAAATTTATTCGCATTAGGAATCTCCAAATAAGGACATTCTCTTTCGAGCGCTTTGAATCACCGGTTAACAAGCTTTAGCGAAAATTTACAGAGAATTGAAGATGACTACGAGTCGTCGCTAGAAGTACAAACATGCTATTTGTCGTTGGAAACAAGATCCCTAGCATATCAATTCGAACCTGTAAATGAACTATTTTAAAGAGCAACTTCTGTTTCGATGCAACAATACGAACGTGTCGTGTGCAGCATGCGCAACAAAATAGCGCGGTTAAGTCCGGGAATCGGAAAGGCGAAGATCAAATTAACGTACTTTTCGATTCGAACATCATCGAGAGTATATCGAACGAGAGGCTCTATGCACTCGAGTGAACCGAAAGGTGGAAAGAAGAAAAAGGCGACAGGAGCTTTCAACGGTGAGAAGAGGACGCTGTTCTTCCGGTACGTGTCTCGGTTATCGCTGTAAACACGGCAAGATGGCGGGGACGAGCTTTCGAACGGTTGATTCTCCCGTTGAAAAGGAATTACTTCCAGAGTAGTGGGCGATAGAAAGTTGCGCCGTGACAGACCGAGGCGTCGCAATCTCACTGACCCGTCTTTTTCAGTTAAATTTTCGATAACGATTTAATGCCCAGACACGTGAAAAGACGATAGAGAGAAAGGCGAAAATAAGGGACAATTCTCGCGGAGAAGTTTGTTGTTCGGTTGTTTTGAAGGCACCTTGTTTCCCCCTGGGAGAAGAAGGCAATCAGTTATCGGATCAACGAGATATTATATTGCTTCGGCGATAAATGAGAAACTCCGAGAAGCAGGTGTATCGAAAGCTTGTGTGACAGTCTCCTTTGAAATTGAGGTTATGTACGTTTTGCCATCGTGTTGTTTTGTTACGACTTTGTTTGGAGACTACTCGAATCGATTTCCGAGAATATTGCAGAAAGGGGAGAAAATATTCGGAAAATGTTGAGAACCGTGTTGACCTCGATTGCATTTCATTTTTCGAATTCGGAAGGAAAGATAGTACAGTATCGATTATGCTTGCCTTTCCCAGGGGAAATGAAAGACCCTTTATTTCTATTTAACGTATTAATTTCAGTTTGAGTGGTTGTTTTTTGGTGTATATACGAGTGCAGCGATGGTTTTCTTTTGATTAAAGGAAGAGTACGGAAATAGGAAGTGTTTACTTAATAATAATCTAAGTTATGCGAAATAAAATTCGCTCAAGTGAATGTAAAGTTCTTTTAGAAAAAATGACAATATAGCAGAAGGATATTTGCTTTTACACTCGTATTAATAATTTGAGACTCTGAGGAAAGTCTATTATTTTCGATACTGTACAGTGTACGCAAATAATAGTATGTACATTAAGGCGATGCTAAAAATTCAATCTTTAAAATAATGTTTGCATACTTTAACATTTTATTCTACACGATGCAAAATTAAATCTTAAAATTTTATTACATTTCATAATATTTTCGAGACTGTTACTATTAATATTTTTAATTATTCTATTTATAGTCAATTAATATTTTAAACAACGAATCGATACACCAGCAAAAAGCTAATAAGAAAAAAATATTTGTTGCTAATAGTCAATCAACTCCGATACAAATATCCTTTCATAAAAGAATCGATTTTATCATCCTAACACATTATTTGCAAAATACATTTTTATAAAAATGAAGTGATTCTTCAAATTTTTGAAAATAATCGTTTTATAAATTCGCATCGAAATACTATCCTAAATGAATAAAAATATTTTACAATTAGAAGAAACAAAAAGTTTCAAAATTCTGTCAGAAAGAAAATTGCATCCTTGTAAAATACAAAGTGAATACCTGGGCTCCTAATATTGAACCGAAGAAAATAAAAGAGAAATGTAATATTACTGTTAAGGGTGAGCAGGTTGACATATTGACAGGAAATATCGAAAAAATGATTGACAAAACATCAGCTTAATGTACGTACATTAGGTGGGAGTGAATGTGAAGACAGGATGCATTTTGGGCGGTGGAAACGATCGTTTCCCGAAATGTTCTCGGGAAGAAGGAAAAAGTCGGTCGATCGAGCGGGAGAAGAGATGAAAAAGGACAGGATGTAATGGAAAACGGGGAGGAAATGGATCGTGTGTCAGCTGCTTGGACGAGGTGTGATTTTCGTGCACGTACCGTTTCTACTTCGTCTCTCGGAACCCGTTCTAAATAGCAAGCAGCCTGCGAGAGAGTCGAGAAAAATGATTTTCCTGCGTCACACGTGGCACGATCACGGAGAAATCACTGCCGGAAGAGGATCACGCTCTTTTTGGTATGTGCCGTTTCTATCTTAACGCGGGAACCATCGTCCTTGATACGTTATTCGATACTTTGCTTTGAATATTATTCCATTTATACGATTGATCTGAACTACCTGTTGCAGCAACTTCGAATATCGATACTCCGCGAGCTTTCGCTTAAAAAAAACGTTATTTCTGTCACAGATGAATCGGTATTTGTCTTTGATTGGATATATAGGGTCTTTTAGGAATGATTCGAAGAAGGAATCTATGTAAAAAATAAGCGAAAAATGTACAATTAAAGTCTTTCTTATACGGTCAGAAAACTAAATTTGACCATTTGAAAACAATTTTTTTCAATTGAATTTTAACATTTAAACTAATATGAACATTTAAACAAATTTTTTAAAATTGAATTTGAATTTCAAAGAGATTTTTTAAAATTGAATTTTAATATTTAAAAAGATTTTTCAAAATTGAATTTTAATATTTAAAAAGATTTTTTATCAATTGTATTTGAAAATTTAAAATAACCTTTTTAAAATTGAATTTGCACATTAAAAGAAAAATCTATAAATTGAATATTAGTATTTAAGAAAAAATCAGGAGTAATTGAATTTGAATATTTAAGATGAAATTTAGCAAAAAGATATACAAATTTAACCCTTTATTGCATACCTCAATTGGGGATTTAAATTTCAAATGTTCTATACTAACTAGAAACAGTATTAAGGATTCTGAGCATGTTTCCAAGTAATAAAAAAATAACACTTTCCAATTATTTGTTTCATGACGTTCATTTGTAAGTAGACTAACCATATTTTCCAACTCGTAAATATTGCAACACAGAGTTAAGTACAAAAAAGTACGAATAGTATTGGTTATTTTATTTCAAATTTTATGCTTACTTTTTCGCGTAGATTCGTTCCTATCTCCTTCATCATATCGCAAACGCTCTGTATTTTGCCTAATATTTGTAAACCTTTTCTCACACACAAAATTTGAGAAAGAAAAGAAAATAGATGGAAGAAGAAATGGAACATAATACATAAGATTACCTTCGTGAAACGAAACGTTCACAGGGTAGACAGGGTGGAAGATACTCGATAAAATCCAAGAATAAACTGTATCTCATCCCCTGATTCAGCCGTGTTTCCATCGTAAAATGAGCGACTTGTCGACACAAGATATCGATCCGAATAGCAGCTTCTCTGCGGGTGGCACGTTTGCATTTTCTCGATAGAAACACCACGGTTGTATAGTGTGTTTCGTGAAAACGTTGACGTTCCCCTTTGAATTTCAATTACTTTTGCAATTCATTGAAAACAACAGACTAATGAACAGGCTTTGTGATCTTCGTTTCTTCTTTCATGGATTCGATGTTCGTTAAACAGATACTATTTTGCGAAAAGAAAGTTGTTAACCTTTGAACGGCGGGACAGCACGTTAATATTAATTTTCGACTGCTTTTTTTAGATATTTTTTGATACTTCAAGTATTGTGCTTTTCATGTACGAATTATTTATTTTGAGAATTTCGGCGCTGTTGTACATGTTTCGGTATGTTTACATTACGACAAATTTTCGATGCTTCAAGGTTAGAAGGATGTTTTCAAATTTATTTGTAGTTATGTACTAATTTGTTTGAGGAAATGGAAAATGGTAGGTATGGAATTTGAAATTAGGTGAGGTCGAAGTAGCTTATAATTCGGTAAAAAAATTGATTTAAGTTATTGCAAATTTTTAGTTCTTTCAGATTTTTAAATTCAAATTTTTTAATTTTATCAAATTTTTTAGTTTTATATTCAAATTTTGATATTTGAGTTCAAAATTTTTTAAATAATAAACAGAAATCCCTAAATTTTCAAATTTTCTAACTTTTAAATTGCTAAACTGAAATTTTTAAATTTTCAAATTGCGAAATTACTAAACTCTAAAGTTTTTAAATTGTTAATTTAAAAAAATTTTCAAATGTTTAAATTGTCAAATTCTGAAATTTCAGAATTTCTAAATTTTCAATTTTCCAAGTTTTTAAATTTCCGAGATTTCAAACTTTCTCAACTGAACAATCTCAAATTTCCAAAATCCAGTATTTTCAAATTTTTTAATTCTTCAATTTCCTAAATTAAAAAATTTTTTAATTAATTTTCTTAAACCCAAATTTTCACATCCAATTGTCTAAATTTTTCACTGTCCAAATTTCACAACACCTAAATTTGCAAACTTAAAAATTTTCAAGTTCAAATATCCAATTCTGAAATTTTCCCAAATTTCAAAATCTCAAAATCAGAAACTCTTAAACCTTCTAATATTTAAATATAAAAATTGCCAAATTCCCTGTTGACTCGTCATAGAATAATTGTATTACTTATCGCAAAATATGTAACTCATATGCGTTTCTCCCAATAATTAAAAAAGGAGCAACAAAAAGTTTGTATTTCTTAAACACTCAGTATACAAATAGAATTCGAATGTTTCGTCGAGGAAGACACTAGTACGGAGTCGAGCGTGTAATTTATGCACGTTTCCATCACGCGATAAGCGTGACGATATATCTTGTAACATGTGATAAATAGATCTCATGCTGCTATTGTTTATTAGGCGACTCGAACTAGGTTCCAGTCATGCACTGGAATCGGGAAACAGCATTCTGTCACTACGTTTTGAGATTGTGTCTCCATTATATTGAATTAGTCTCTCGATCACTGAATTTATAGGGTGATACAAATTGATTATTGATTGATTGGTCACGAGTCCCCAAATTGTTTATAATTCATATTTTTTTTGAGATCAAGTAATTAAGAAAAAGTTAAATGCCGTACAAATGTGTATGTTTTCGTATAAGTAGAATTTTTATTAACGAAATTGATATGGTAGTGTTCCTTTTGTTACTTAATTTTGTTATTTTCAGACTTTTCGAATTATCATGAATAATAATAATTAACAAGTACTTTTTGTTTAACAAATATGTTATAAGTAGTGTATTGTAAAATTTTTTAATTTTAAATTTGAAATTGTAATTATAACAAATAATGATTGAAGAAATTTATTCGGAGAAAAATTTATATGTGTTGCAAAGTATCATTCTGAGAAGTAATAAAAATCTGCATTTTTATCAGGGGTAATTACAATTTGCATCACTTGAGGAGAAGTAATTATAATTGCATTATTTTGAACAGAGATAATAACAATTCATGTAATTATAAGAGAGATGATAAAAATTTGCATCGTTACGAGGAGAGATAATAAAAATTTACATTGCTATGAGGATAATAGAGAGTTGTATTTAAAAATGATAATAATGTTTTGGATAATGTTATTAATTAGAAAATCTTCGATTCATTGATGTTTAACGAAAAACATCAATCTTGTAATGAATTATTTTGTGTATATTTGCAACACAATGTCACAAATGGTTAATAGAACTGCATATTTTATTTTACACGCTTCTTTAAAATATTTTAAATAAAAAAGTGGTAAAGCACATTAAGTAAATTAAGAAATTAACCCTTTGCGCTCGAGAAAGCCTCTCAGGCGCCATTCGATTTAATGCAATAATTTGAAATAATTAATCAATTTATTTATTTAATTAATTCTGTAATAGTGCTCATGTAATGTAAAAATATAGTGGAAATTATTAGTAGAGAAATAATAACCTCAAAAGAACTCATTTAACATTTTAATTAATATTTTAAAGTTGCTGTTTGTAAACAATAACACAAGTATTTAATTTTTTCCTATATTCTTAATCTTATATCTCTATCTAGTTTGTAACTAGAACATGTTTATTAGATTACTGCATATAAGATCTATAAAATAACGTTTATGGCACATCAACTTAAACCTTAGAATTGAACGAAAAGGATCTCACGAATTTTTTATTGTTTTTAACATAAAATGGTTGTTTATTTATCACAAAAAACTAATAAATTTCGTAGCATATGGAGTTTGTCCTAAATTAATGGCATGAAAGCACCCTAAAATAGCATACATATTTTGCACCTTAAAAGTTCAATAAAAATGAACATTTTATTACTATTTTGCATATAAAGTGGTTGGTTATCACTTATAATATAAAATGAGCATTTTTAAAATCTTCAAAGTTAGATACAATTTAGTGAAATAAAATTATTATGCAATATTATTTATTAGTTTCTAAGTTAACAGAAATATCT